CTGAGTTACGCAAGCCCCTTCGCCACGACAAGGCAGTGATCCATGAAGGGGATATATACAGGTAGACCTAGTTTAATGATTGCTTTGTTTAACAACCTTTCAAAGTTATCCTAGCACTGAAAAAATAACTTTACGACTGGTCCTCGCACTTACAACCATCACAGTGTCTTGTGGTCACGTGATCACCATTTGCGCGCTTCACAACCGGCTTCTGACAAGCAGTCGATGGAGAAGCCAGCAGTAAAATCACAAGTCATGGTCACATGACGTCTTACTTAGTGATCTGCGGTGACTTGCTTAGCAACTGAATGGGAAGTGGCGTCATAAGACTGTTGTGGTCACGTGATGTTTCACTTAGCAACCGCACTGCTTAGCGACAGAGTTGCTGGTCCCAATTGTGGTCACAAACTGAGGACTACCTGTACTAACAGGAAGGATCAAAAACCAGAATCAAAAGAAGATATTTGAGTGAAATGTCTCATGAATGTGCAAGTTTATTTTCTCTTTATAATCTAATAAGAGGGATCTGTAAGATCTGGTGATGTTTACCAGTTCTGATCAACCAAGAACAGGAATTCTGCAGTGGTATCATGAAGAAGAAAACAAAATGAAAGCATGGACTCGCCACAGTCTTGGGGGAGGAGGTGGAACAGTGAAAGGCAAGGTGACATGAAGGTATTGTATCTCCTTTCAGAAGAGGAAACCTCCCCAGTTACAGGCCTTGAATGTAGCCCAAAACATGTATGCGGTGTTTGGGGAAGAAGCTAGGTGACTTTCAACATGGCTAGAACTTTTTCTTCCTGGTAGAGAGTGTCCATGTACAGCAACATCAGGAGGAGAGAGAAACTCCAGAATGAAACAAAATACAGTACCCCTCTTCTCCTTCTGGTGAGACTGATTAAGCCAATCATTTTACTATTAACTTGCCTGACCAGGCAAGGAGTCTGCTGTGGGTGAAGAATGCTTTTATGAGAGAAAAAAAGAGCACAGCTGAAGCTCCTCTAAAGCAATGGGCTTTTTTCATTCTCCTCACTGAGAGGTGATCAGCTGTGTTTCTCTCCAGACAGGTAAGAAAAGACACTCCCAGCTTCTCTGTTAAGTATGTGACTTGATTGTCAAAACCACATGAGAACTACAGTGCTCAGAAACCATTTCTACTTCTTCCTTTCCTGGCAATTGCTGATGGGGAGAATCAGGAAGCTCCATGCAAAGGTTTGAAAATGACTCTTGACTATTCCATACTTTGAAGAGTGACAGGGAAGGTGCGTTTTCTCCTGTCCACATCTCAAGAATATCCCTGCACTGCCAAGTTAGAACACTTTCATAGTGCCATTTTAATTCTTTTCTTTTAAAATATCTGCTTCAGATATGATATGAAGTTGCTTATAACTTCAGGTAGTTGTAAAGCGAGGTGGTTGTTAAGCGAATCAGACCCAATTTTACAACTTCTTTTGAGGTGGTTGTTAAGTGAATCACGTAGTTCCCCATCGGTTTTGCTTGCTGGAAGCTGGCTGGGAAGGTCACAAATGGCAATCACATGATCCCGGGATGCTACAACTGTTATAAGTGCGAGCTGGTTGCCGAGTACCCAGATCACAATCACATGACTGCAGGGGTGCTGGGACAGTTGTTAACTTCGGGCACCAGTCATAAGTCACTTTTTAAAGCACCATTGTAACTTTGAATGGTCGCTAAACGAATGTTTGTTAAGCAAGGACTACCTATAATTTAAAAGACACAACTGCTTTTATTCGGGTGCCCTGTTCATTTTTTAAACATTTAAATTTATTCAGTGATGTAGGGAACTGTTTAGCCTTTCATAATTTTGAATATCTTTTTTTCTGCAGTTTTTTTCTTTCTTGCTCCTTGTCATGGGAAGATTCCTGCTTATCTCACAGAAACAGTTCCTTCTTCTTGTAGATAACTCTACACACCCTCATCGAGTGCAATTTTTATTTGTCTACTTAATGGAAAATGCATTAACATAAGCTGCTAAGTTTCTTGCCCACAACAGTACCTTCAGACAGCTGAAGTCCTGCAGATCCCAGATTTTCACAGTCCCATCTGCTGAAGAGGTGGCCAAGACCTGGTCTGCTGGGGAGAACTGTACACACCAGATGCCCCGTTTATGTCCAGAGAAGACTCCAAGTAGTGCACAATCTTCACAGTTCCACAGCTTGGCTGTCTTGTCCTGGGAGCCTGTTGCGATCAGCTTATCATTTGGAGACACTGCCACACTATTAATATCCTAAAAATGGAGAAGGAACAGTTCTGTATCGGCACTCTCTGGCAAATTATAGGAGCATTTATTACAGCATGCACTGCTAAATTCTGCACTGCGGCATGTAAGATCCAGGGAACCTTGACAACTCAAACTCCTATTATATAGGTGTATTTTATGTAATTTTACGTATTATATTTTATGTAACCTGATATTATCACAGGTACAGCCTAGACATAGACTACTTTTATTTGATTATTAATCTAGTCAGGCCACTTTATAGCTGTATTTCAACTAGAATAATGAATTCTTGTTTACTGGATTCTTAAACTAGACCGTTACAGGTGGTTATAGACCACTTAATGACACATTTCTTTTCTGGTCTGAGACCACAATAAAGATTGACTGACTGAGGTTATAGGAAAGGAAAACAGTAAAACAACAATCAATACTTTTAAATATCCATTCCAAACTCCATATTTTTGGCTATCCATGAGAATAAGTAAGTAGGGTTAAACGCCTCCCTTTTTCATTTTGGCTTTTTAAAATCTACTTTCTGCCCTAGTATGATCTGCACGGTAACCAATTTTTCACTGAGTGTAGATATAATGCTTCTAGTCTTTAGGTCACAAACCAAGGGCTCAGGGGCTCCTGCTCCTGCTGTTTATTTTTGGGATACAACTGTGGTAAGCATGATTTCTAATATTTATTCTCACCATGGTTTTAAACAAGGGTTGCAATTCCAGCTCCTACTCTAATTCATGATGGAAGTGTCTTCGTTTCATCAACATCTTTACTTTTTTTAAAAAAAATAAAGAACATTTTATGCTAAACTACACAAATTCTGGTCTGAAACCAAGCATGACTGGTGTTAAGATGCATGCAGACATAATACTGCGTTAAAGTTAGTGACAGAAAAAGGATAGGAGAATTCAGGTGGAAAAAGGTAGAGGTGGGAGATACTGGCATGCTCTCGATCTCCAAATTATGGTTAGGAAATTAAACACAGAGTGATCTAGATCTAGATATGTCCATTGCTCATCCTGAACCTGATAGTCTGCAGATTCAGAAACATCTGGGGAAACAACAGGTTATGAATTGAAACTGCCTTTTGTGAGGCTCTCTGACAGGAGTTCTGCATAGCACAGAAACGTACACCCATCCCACTCTATTGGCTGTTGTGATCAGTGTCTGCTCTGAGGGCCCGTTTGGTGCAGTGGCTAAGGCACCAGGCTAGAAACCAGGAGTCTGTAAGGTCTAGTCCTGCCTTGGGCACAAAGCCGGCTGGGTGATCTTGGGCCTGTCACTCTTTTTCAGCCTCAGGAAGAAGAGGGTGGTGATGGCAAACCACTTTCGAAAACGTTGCCGAAAAAACTGCAGACACTTGTCCAGGCAGGGGCCAAGAGTCAAGACTTGAAGGCACACGCCCCAAAAAGCCACCTGCACCCAAGATTCCCAACTTTTCAAATCCCCTGGGTGCATTACCTTATCGTGCGCCACTGCTGTTTTGTCAGCCTGCAGCACCAAGACCTGGTTCTCTTTTTCCTTGGTGGCAGGCATTTTAGGAAGAATCCAGAATTTGACTGTGCGGTCTTGGCTGGCTGTGGCCAGAAAATTCTCTTTCGTTCTGGAAAAAAGGCAAACCAGATAAAAAAAGAGGGATACAGATGGTGACGGTGAACATTGTTTCCTTCACTTCTATACTGCTTTTCCTAAAACTCTCAGGGTAGTTTACATTAAAAATGAGACAGGGTAAACACATTAAAGCACCTAACACTCGTACGATTATTATTTCATATTGCTAAAAATGATTAAGTGCCAGACTGAAAGGGGGGTGTAAGCGTCTCCTGAGGGCCTCTAAAGAAAATGCCTAGTGCGAGCGCTGCCTACATTGTAGGGCCACACCCGGGTTTAGAGCAGTGCTTCCCAACTATGACAACTTCCAGGGAAGTGGACCAACTTCCAGAATTTTCAGCAATAAATCCACCATCTGAAAGTTGCCAAATTTCCTCCAAGGCCCTGTAACTTACTGCTTTATCATCTTACTCAACTAAGGGAACTTGGAGACTGGCTGTCATTCTCCCTCAGCAAAGAATTCCAGGTAGATTTCATAAGAAGACGAACTTTTGCTTCCTTTCAAGAAAGGGGCAACTTGCCCTCCTTCAGAGGCCGTTAATGATGTCAATTAGGCCAATTTCAATAAATCCCCTGAACACTGAAAATAGCCATGGTGGGCAAAGATCCAAAGAACAGGTGCAAAGCTGGTCTAAAACAAGTACTGAAACAACAAAGTTAAAAAGCCTCAGTTTGTTCCAACTTCCTTTGAGTTTAACGCCAGGGAAGGCAATGCATCCACAGACACTCCCTGCACCCGCAGAAAGAAAACCTTGGGATTATGGAGAGGGGCCATGAACTTCCTCAGCCTCTGAAGCAGGGGTGGGGAATTTATGGTTCTTCAGATGTTCCTGAACTACGGTTCCAATTGTAGTTCCACATCCAAAAGAGTGACCTTTAACCTTTTTGGCTGGGGCTGCTGGGGGTAATCTCTAGAAGCTCACAGGATCAGCGCCCTACATTAAAGGAAGAAACCAGATCAAGGAAATTGTTGGGCTGATGGCCACAGTGGAATTTAGGGAGCACGCTGTGGGCATTCTCACAGAATAGCTGCTATTTTATTTTACAGTCATTTACAGTCAAATTTATACTCTGCCTTTGTTTATTCCAATGATCAGGGTGCTGTCACATCTGGAAGGTTGCTCACTACTACCCCCTTCTGCTCCTCCCTCCCAACCTGGCTTCCTCTTAGCCTTTTAACATACACCTGGCAACTTATCTAGGAAGCCGGTATACTCAAAGTACAGTAAATGATTAGTAGTATTTATGGAAATTTAGGCCCCACAAAGTGTCTCTACTACTCACTGGAGTAGTAGAGACACTTACTGATGTGTGTGTGTGTGTACGTGATAGTGCATGTGTGTTAATTTGTGTTTTAGTCAATGAGTGCCGGGTGACTGGCCATACCTATTATGGAAGCTGTTTTGTGAATTGACAACAATTTTGAGAGCGTGCCTATGTCATGCACATGTGCTCTTTAAATTCCAAATACAGCTTCAGCCTATCCTTCATCTACAGGACATGCCAACAGGAGGGAAATACACTCAGTAGAAAACAAGTTTTTACCATAGGTGAAAAACTTCAGAAAAAAATATTATGAGCTAAGCACGGTCATCATCATGGAGTGTAAAAGGGTAGAGATGGCCTTGAAGAAGAAATGCAAAAGTGGTTACATAAACACTAGCTCGGACTTGAGCTGGGGGGGGGATGAGAAGAAACTCACTATAGCCCCACCTTGACTCTCTTTGGGTATAGAGGGAATAAACTCTATCAGACTTTGAAGATTCTGTTATTATACTATTCTGCAACAGAGTTCCAGTCGTTCTTCTGGCGTTTGTTTCCTGTCCTGGCCTACTGTGAAAGGCTGACATGGATTAATATGCTTGGCTGCCTGGCTGGAACCCTGAACAAATGCTTCCCATGCTGCAGCTTATTGTCACTGACAAGAAATTCTGTCCCTCCAGGTTTTTTAAAAATAACTATGTACCTGAACATCTTTTGAAGGATTGCTATGCACTGACGACTGGAGTTTCCTCCCCATGACCTATCAGAACAGGTACTGCTTTATAAACACACACACTTTGGACTTCAAAAGGAAGCAACAGAAAGGATTTCAAATATTTTCCAGCCTAGTTCATTCTCTTTGTCCTGGCATCAGTCCAAAACGAAGAAACCTGATCTACCAATTTCTGCCCTGAAAAATCCCCAAATTGTGGTGTGTGCCCACAAGAAGATTTCAGGTGCAAGTACACAGCCGTGGGATTAACCGGAACCTCCTCTCGCTTGCAGCGGCTTCTGGTGTGTTGGCTTTCAGCCAACAATCTCATTGCTTCCAACAGCTGTTTTCCTGGACCTGAAACCAACTCCACCAGGACTTTCAGAAGCAGCTGGATCACTTGCCAGTGCAGCGACTGAAATGGAGTCGCAATGAGGAGTGCTTGAATAATGCATTTATAGCAGAGGGGGCTTCAAGTATTTTGCTCCCAATAGGGCCAGAGAAGTTCTGGGAGGGGATCCAACATTTGCCCCCCAGCAATTGGTATTAAACGGCACGCTATGTCATTCCCGGAGGTAATATATAGCACAAAAGCCAACTCCTCCCTGAATTTATTTAATCTTATTTTTTCAGCCACCCAAAGTGGTGGTATCGCTGTTATCTTATGGTAACAAATTCTTTAACTGAGGGTTTCTACATGAAGAATTATTCCTTTTTCTCTTCTCTCTCTGTTAACTTTCTAGTGCTGTGGTTCTCAACCATTTTGGTCTCAGGAGCCCTTTATATTCTTAAAATTAATTGAGGACCCCAAAGACCTCTGGTTTCTGTTATATTGATCAATATGTATTGTATTAGAAATTAAAATGGAGAAATCTTAAATGTTTATTTATTTGACTTCCCAGACCCCCTGAAACCGCTGAGGAGGAGGAGGAGGAGGAGGAGGAG